ACTTCGCATTCGGCTAGGGTAGAAAGCAGGCCCACATTATATTTAGAAGTAATTTATATAGCTCCTTTAGGGGACAGGATACAGGATTTACAGAACAAGCAGAGAGAAGCCCTCACTGACCTAGTATTTATTGAGAATCATTTCTGTGAAAGGCATCATCTATTTCATCTCTCTGGGTTATTCTGCCACTGTGTACAGTGGAAATAATATATTATTTGTTCTACTCTATTCCAGTGCATAGTAGAGCCCAGGAACAAGAAATTAGGTCACTTCTGAACTATTGCCAGTTTCAACTAACCTTTGCTATCAACCAATCAGAATACAGACCTCTCACTAGTGATCCATATCAATATATAGAGTGTTCACATTTAAGAGACATAGTATATTATAAGGTTACTAGAAATGCCATTTTGAATTGAGTAATTAAGTAAAAAAAAGAAAAAAGGACAGTACTACTAAATATTTAACTAGTAGACTGCCAAATTAAAACAGAATCTCTTTTAATAAACAAGCCAAAGAAATTTGTTTTTTCATATTTATTAAAGCCTGATTCTAATGTGGACTCCCTGTACATAATTTTAATAAGTGGACAACTTATCTGTGGGCTCAAACACCATTCCTACATAGCCAAACAATTAAGGATTGGTGGACCCCCTATATTCACGCAACTCTACACAATCATACTCTAAGTGAATAAGGTTAAGATTATGTATGACTTTATGATTCAAGAATAGATGAAGCAGATGAAAGAAGAGGCCCATAAGAGACAATTACAAATTGTTAGTGATGAGCCAACTAAAAATACAAAGATAAAGATGAAGACTGCAGAACCCTAAGACCCTGCCCATGTTTATGGAGAAATTCTCAACTTTTCCAACATACAAGGATGTTAAAGATTCTGCAAGTAAATGAAGCCATAGTTACAAGTCACTAAATCTATGTATGTGTCTGGATTCATAATATACAGAACGCTCAATGACTAAAAAGAACTGCCTATGGAATTCTGCCTACTAGCCTGAGGAAACTAAGATGTTTTTAAACACAAGTGGGTGATTTTCAAAACCTTCTTGAGCATTATTTTAGTTCTCGAAGCTGTAAATCCACCTAGAACTCCTGGGTACTATTCTCCTTTGTGTCCCCCGATAAGCGTCTTCCATCTGTTTCTCCAGTTCTCTTATCTTCCACATATCTGTCTCCTCCTGAATCTGAAAATGATCCAGAAAAGCAGCAAATAAAAATGTTACTGACAGAAACGACACCGTAACACAGTGTTATAATAAGGGAACAGATACACCAAAAGAGAAGATCTATTATTTTCTCTTATGAAGACAAATGTTAGTGAAAATCACCACAATTACAGTGTATTACACTACAGTATATAGTTCTGGCTTACTTCCAGGGCAGCTGGTCAACTACAGACAGAGAAAGACGAAAGGCCTGGTGAGACCTTTTGACCCTGCAGTAGAATATGTACTGCCTGAGGCACAGAGGCGAGGTGACCTGCCAGGATCACATAACTAACAAGCTTCAGAGCTGGTGTCAGACACAGGATTTGAACACAGGGAGTTGTGGTTATAAGTCCTGCACTTGATCCCTGTGCTATACTGCTTCTAGAAATTAAAAATGGCTGCCGGAGACAGCCTCCCCCAAAAAACTGCAGGGAGAGAGAGAATGATGGAAGGGGCAAGTTCCCAAAGAGAGGGGGAAAGGGATAGGATCAAGGGTACCTATAAAGGTTCTGGCCTTGGTGAGAAGGAGCCTTTCTTCCTTCGAGATGAGAGTAAAGGAGGATGGGCTAATGGACCACACAGTAAAGTTCTGAGATGTGGAAAAGACAAAAGGAAATTTACAGTGAATGGCTTTAATTTTCTCAGTTAAGTAGGAGTTAAGGTCCTCTCTCCGTAGACAAAGGAAGGCAAGTGTAGGAAGGCTCTAAGATGACACAAGAGACAGAGAGTTAATCAGGGAAGAAGAAAAGTATCTTGACTCAGGATTAAGAACCCTGAAGAAATTATCAAACTTATATTTGTGTGACTTTGCCCAGCAGCATTCAGCAGAAGATGGAGACAACCCAGGCCTAGGGCTTGGCAAAATGGGAGTAGCAATCAGACAAAAAAGCAAAAGATGAAAGGGGAAAAGATAGTGTATAATTAACTACAGGTCAAGACCATGAGAGAAGAGTAATGGACCGGGAGACCAGGAAGGAATGAAAAGACTGGAGGTCATGGTGGTATCTCACAATAGATTTAGGAGGAATGAAACAGGGGGAGAATAAAAGAACATGTCGTTAGACTGCGATAGAACGTGAGAGCTCAGGATCGTTAATATTGTATGGATGACAACAAGAGCTTTAACCATTCTGAGGTGAAATAAAAATACAGGTCACAGGAACTGAGGAAACTGAAGAACTAAGAAGCCATGGTGTTTGAGGATATATTGATATATAAATATCTATATCTATATATATATAGTTAAGTCCTTGAGTATGACAGTAGGAGTTGAGGTAGAGAACTAGAATTTGAGCCAAATAATGAACTTATATTGAATGTAATGTATGATCATAGTAAAGAATGATGATAGATTTAGAGCTGGAAGGGACCTTAAAGGCCATTGAATCCAACTCCCTCATTTTACAGATGAGTAAACTGGGGCCCAGAGGTAAAGTGACTTGTCCAGGGTCACACATAGGTAGGCAGGTCTTCTTGACTCCAAATTCAGCATTCTTTCCATTGTACAGCACTGCCTCACATTGTCCTGTGTGTCATAACTAGATGGAGTGACAACTTAAGAAATGGGAAAGTAACTGGAGACCAGCAGATAACTGCAACAAAGATCTGAAATAGATCTTCAGAATTCAGGATCACAGCTTTAAAGCTGGAAGAGACCTTAATTAGGTCTCTATTAGAGATCACAGGATCATAAATTTAGGGTTAGTGTGAACCTCAGAGGCTGAACCTCACCCCATCATTTTACAAATGAGGAGCCTAAGAGCTAGAAGTGAAGTGATTGCCCAGGGTAAGATGGGAAATGTAGCAGAGTTAGGATTTGAATTCAGCTGACTACAAATCCAGTATTCTTTCCTTTGGACCTTGTTGCTGCCTCACATTATCTTGTAACTGGAGGGAGTGACCCTGAAAGGAGAAGAACCTACTGAATGATGATGACAGAAGCACAAAGTGGTCACAAAGAACAAGTAGTGCACCCACCCTCCTCATAGCCTGGTGTAGTGGGAGTCACAAGAGAAAGAGCATCAGTCCTGGAGGTTACCAGGGATGTAGTGTCTTCCAAAAGAAGTCCAGTTTCTCTGAGTACAAGAATATGGGAAGAGAGTGAAGAGAGAAGTCGGCTAATAATTGTACGGAAGAGAAAGGCAGAGAAGGATAGGAACTGGGGAAGGACCAGGCTGAGGTGGATAGTGATGAGATTGAAATGAAAGGGAGAAGACAAAGGGCTTTTCAACTTCACAGAAATTACAGCTATTAGGGAGTTTTGCTAGCCATAGGTTGGGGGAACACAAATGACTAGGGCTCTCTTCCACTATGGTCCTTTGATCATGGAAGATAACTACAGGCTTTATTCTCTCAAAAATCACAAAAGAAGCCAGTAAGGAGACTGGGTTGGTAAATACCTGGTGATGAGGTCCCAAGGGACCTGACTATGTAACCACAATCAGCACCAGTTTCTCTGCCTCATCCCAACATGTCAGGCAATGATGCACACCCAGAAGATATCCTGCATACAGAGCATGCACATGACTCCTGGTCAGGCCTGGTATCTAAAGTTTTGGTTCTGGATATGATTCTAATGACAAAGACCTGGAGTTCAAGCACTTGTTATACAGGGCTGAGGAGATGGTGCTCTCCACATCTGGTGGTGAAGAAAGAAATAGTAAGTCTTTGAGAAAGAGAGAGCCCTGGTGTCAGAGGCAACTTGCTTCTGTCTTCGCCGATACTATGCTCATGATAATGAAACCTTTGGTGATACGGCAGGGAGGAGGAGGTGCCGAAATAAATGCCTGAGTGTCATTGTTAAAGCAGTTTCTTAGGAGAGGAAGGCTCCAAATTCAGCCCCCAAGAGGATTAGGGCTGGCATGATGCCAGATTTACTCCTCTCAGGCTCTCATGCTAGTCACACAGTCATATTCCCTGCTGTTGCTTAAATACCTCTTTTAATAGCCTTTTAGATTATAAAACAATATATCGCAAATCTAAGAGTTCTACACTAAATCATAACACAAAGTCCTAAAGAAAGCCCTGTCAGGGACTGCAACACTGTCCTCCTACCTTATTGTGAGCATCTGTGTGCCGAATAACATTTCTCAGAAGGACTTTCCCCAGAGGGATCCGGGACATTCTTTAACCTGAAATGTATAGAAACACCATTATAAGAATAATATCTCCTGCAATACATTACATTTGTATGTTTTTCAAATGTATCACATTCATCATTTCACCTGAGTCTCACAACAACTCTCTGAGGTGGGCAAGTAACTCTCCCCTTCTGGGCCTCGGTTTCCTCCCTCATCATTTTTGAGGGAGTTGGATTAAGATTCAAATTAGGATCACAGAATTTAGAACTGAAACGAAACATATATATTGTCTAATCCAACCGCCTCATTTTATAGCTGAAGGAACTGATTTAACCTTTAAAGTTTTTAGTTCTGACAAACTGTGAGTCCATGAAATAAGGAACAGATATTCTATTCGACAATTCAAGAACCTGGATTCACACATTTAACTGTTTGCCCAAGGTAAATAAATCAGTGCCAAAGCCAAGACCAGAACCCACTCCTCCTTACTTGCCGTCTGGTCTTGCTGGGCACCAAATACTCTAATCAGTGGTCAATAGCAGCTGTAACATCTGACATCCCTTAAGCATATCAATCAGCCGGAGCTCACTGTTTTCCCTTCGGGAAAATTTCCATTGCCTATGGTATCCACAGAACCCAAGATACTAAAGGACAAGTTCAAAGTTTGCAAGGCTAGCAAGGGCTTGAGGCCATGGTTCCACAACCACACACCGCCCCTCCTCCCCTCCAACCCGCCAACCCGCCAACCCCGAAGAAATCACGCCTCTACTCGGAGGAGACGCAGAATCATGGTCCTACCAACTTTCCTAAACACGTGAAACGTGCCGAGGTCAGAGGCGGCAGCAAGACGAACTCAGGCGCTCCAATCCGGGGCCTGGTTCGAATCCCAACCCGGCCACTTACGACCCCACCCCGCCCGAACTTCAGACCTTAACCACTTCCCTCTTCTGGGCCTCAGTGAGTGCGTCTGCACAATGGGGTCAGGGCCAGACAGCCCCAGAGGCGCCCAGGGGTCGGCTGTCCACCCCAGCTGCCCGGATCCTGGCCCGACTCTCCAGACGCGTCTGGGGGCCCTACGGCTCCTCGCCCCTCCCTCGGCAGCCTTGGGGGCAGGGGGGGAAGGTCGTCGCCCACCCACGGGGTCCCTCCCCCACCGGAGCTCCGACTCCTTCCTTTCCCCCACACTCCGCCGAGGTCCGTAAGATGCTTTGAGATCCCTCCGTCGAAAAGCGGCTGGGACACCGCAGCTCAGTGGCCGGGATCGGGGCCCCGCGAGCCCCCGCCCACACGCGCCCCCATACCGTGAGTTCCGGCGTCCCGGGGCAGACAGGGGAGGGAAAAGCCTTGGGCCACCTTCCAGTCCTGGCCGGAAGTAGGAAGTGCTTCTCGAGTGTACCGAGAAATACTTCCCCCTCGGAAGCGCTATAACCCCCTCCCCTCCACCCCTCCCACGAGAGTTGCCGGGACTCTCCCGGGGCCAAGGGCGAGAAAATATCGTTCTAGGGGCATCGGTGTGATAGCGGCTACCCCAGAGAAGCAAGGCCAGGGCTGATCGGAGAAGCCTCCCATCTAGTAGGGGCCGAAGTTGGCCCCGGAACCGAGTGCGAGGAGCTCAGGGACGCTGGGAGGTCTCCGGGCCCAGTTAGGCGTCGCACCGCGGCAGGTTGCCCTGGTAACCGCGGCCTCGGGGGCACTAGCAGTAGGATGTCTGTTTCCCAAGGAGTTGGACGAGGTGGTGGGTCAGGAGCTCCAACCCCAAGTCTTGACAAGAAAGGGGAGGCAGAAATGAGGGAGCGTTGGGGGGGGTAAAGAAACTGAGGCAGGAGCTGGAGACAGCCCGGACTCCACTAGGACGGGAATAGAGGTGGTGGGGAGCGAATGTCCCCTCTGACCTTGGGCTTGGTGGGTGGGGGCCCTCAGGGTGAGGAGATCCCCGCATAGAGGGACCAGAAGAAGCGCTTAGGGCGGAGGCGGGGCGGAATAAAGAAAAGGTCGAGGGGCGTTACTGAGAATGCTGGTCGTGCCAAACGGTCAGTCCCTGCCCTACTCCTTCCCCAGACCGAGACAAGGAGGTGGTAGCAGGGACTTGCTGTTCCTTGGAATCAAATGACAGTAACAGATGGGACTAGGAGTAGGCAAGATAGGCGCTGTAGGGAGCATCGAGGGGACTGAGAAGGGGGAATTGCAAAGAACACTTTTTTAATATTCATTTTTACAAATGCACCTTTTTTTTTTAGCGCTAGGAAATTTCAGTCATCTCCGTATCAGGGAAATAAAATGTTACAATTAAAGGCCCCCAGCTTGTGGTGTATAGTAACACAAGGGGAGTGTGTTGTGCAGTCTTCAAATGGACAGGGGTACCATTTTAAAACCTTGCCGAGTCCATACAAATACTTTAGCATCTTCCAAGTAACCTTTCCTCAGGGAGGGTATGTCTTTTCCGCAGTTTGGTAGACCCACTCGCTTCCAGGTCATGGAATCATCACCAAAAGGTTTGCTTACCCAAGTGACTCAACTCTGGAACCTCCTAGACGATCTAGCTGAAAGTGACCCTGAAAGTTATGAGAAGTTCATTCAACAGCAGCTGAAGGAAGGAGAGAAATACTGTGCTGCCCCTGAGCCACAGCTCTGTTTGCAGACCAAGATCTTGGTTCGTAGAAAGTGGGGCTGAGGGTGGGGAGATTTCAGATGAAATGATTCTGTGGCTCAGGTCTTTATTTCTACCACAAAGTAGTATTTCAAGGGAACTATAGCTCCAGAATAAGAAACTAAATGTTCATGCCAAAGATGGTACTGATCAGGGGTTCCCAACTAATTGAATGGAAAAAAAGCAAGTTCATCCATGGGAATTTCTCCATATAGGTCCTTTTATCCAAGTCAAACTCCATTAAATATCTGGGAAAGAACCATAAGTAGGATTGGTTCCTACATATGGGGAAGAAACCAGATACTTTATTCTCATTTGGAACAAGACACACTGAACCACAGATTCCAGAATACTAGACTTGGAAGGGACATTAGAAATTATCTAATCTAACTTCTACCTTAAGTATGGACAAGTACTTGTACAATATCCAGTCTGTTTGAACATCTTCATTGGTCTAAAGTCTAAAAGTCAACCATATCCCTGACATCCCCATTTTACAGATAAGGAAAATGAAGCTCAGCGGGGGCTAGGTAACTTTCCCACATACAGCTCAGAAGAGTCAGAGGAAGGGTTTGAACCCAATCTCAATGAATTTAAGTCTTTCCACTATACCAACTTGCACAAAAGCTAGAATTCTCTTGCACTATGCCTGGTGTGATGGTATTATCCACTGGAGTTCTTCTACATTACTGTCTTCTGCTTTACATTCATAACCTGGCTCAGCTCTCCTCTGGCTATTGACTTTTCTTGTCTACACTCTGAAGTTCTCACCTGTTTCTGCACCCAGATTACAGAAATTCAAAGAAAAAGAAGGATACTCCTCAAAAAATAGAATAACCCTTTCTTCTAGAACTTTTTTTTTACCCAATCTTGGGGAAAGAGGGAAACTATTCTGATTTAGTTTAGAGATCCTTCACTCCATTATTTGTAGTACTTCCAACTTCAAGGGAAAAGTAAGGTTTCCTTGCTCAGTTGATCACATTCAAGTTTTTTAAGGGCTACTAAGCCAACTCAATTTGTTCTCTCTTCATTCTCATGAATTGTAGGGGCACATCATGCAAATCAACTACACAGAATCAGCCCCAAACACCACCAAGACAATATGAGGAACACTTAGGAGGTGCTTGATAAATGCTAGTTGACAGGAGCCTCTTCAGTAGTGTGCAAAATAATAATAAAGTAATAAGGAAATGTTTTGTTTCCTAGAAACCAGAAGAAAAAGTTTTATTTATCAACCTTTGTCAGTGGACAAGGATCCCAGCACCCCAATCAAAGGCAGAGCCTGTACCTTTGAGTGTTGGCAAGCCAGAAGATGTATCTGAGACATCAGGTATATAGAGTATCAAAGCTAGGCTTTTTATTATTTTCTTAGCAAGCAACTGACACTCAATAGATTTTAGCAGCTAAAGTGTATTTAAGGTAAAATTTTTGTACTTCTAATAAACATACTGGAGAGTTATCTCCAGTGTTAACTGAATATATGTAAGCTGTTAGTTTAATTTTCTTAAATACTGGGGCAGTTACTGTTCTGACAGTAAGAAGTTCTAGTGGGAATTTTTTTGTGCAGTAGTACTATGGTGGAAATTCTACTTTTGGGGTGCTGTAGCTTAATTCAGGCTATTGGGTTAACATTGTTACCTGACACTACCATTACAGAAATAACTCTTTGTTAATTCAACACTGTTTGAACTGCCTAGAATCATACACAGTTATCGATGTTGCCTACAACCCTGCTGTTCTCAAAGCAGCAAAAGATGATGAAATGGAAATTGATCAACTGATTCGCCTGACAATGAAATGCATTGAGGATCGATATCAATTTACTCTTTCCCATTCCTATCACATTACAAAAACCAGGAAGAAAGGAAGCCTCCAAAGGATGAAAAAGAATTTGATGGGAATCCAAACTAACTCAACAGATTTAAATGAGAAAATGAAGAAAGGTAAGGAAATTTTTAGTAAACACTAATGTATGCAAATTGACAAGTGAAAATTAGACTTAAATCTTATTTCTAAAACAAGAACAGATAGAAAAGATCAGGTTATTATAACCCAGAGATGTCTTAACTCAAGGCACACAAGTTGCAGGCAGCACTGCAAAACTCACAGCCAAAACCCCAACCAGATTAAACTGTAATTGGGAAATGTTGAACAAAACAAATAAAAATACAGCATAGATAATGTTGATATGCAGCCTATATGCAGTAGGTTTTTTTTTTACAGTACTTTATTGCATTTTAATTATTATAATCTGAAATATATCCCTTTTTTGCATCAAGAACTAACGCTTGAGCAGTTGAGAAACTGTAGTGTGAATAACCAAGATGACATTCCACAACTTTTACTGCCAAAGGACCATATTCCAAGCAAACAAGGGTGTTTGATTGAGGAAATTTCCAGTAGTGAGCTCCAAGTTGAGCTGAAGATTCCAAATTATAAGCTGACAGTTGTGAAGGATCAGAATGGAAGATCACTGAGAATTGAGATGAAAGTTGAACTTCCTGGTCTTAGCTCTGTCTGTGACTGTGACCTTAGTGTTTCTAAGGTAAGATGAAGAAATAACAATGTAAAACCAGGAATAGATTCTGTTTCTAGATTGCAAAAACAAATCTATTCAATTGATGCGATTCTCTCTTAGGATGACTTGGTGATTGAGGTCTCTGAGAAGTACCGATTACAGGTAGATCTTCCAGAAGCGGTTGACACTGAGACAACTACAGCAAAATTTATCACAGGGAAAGCTACATTAATCATCACCATGCCAGTCCTGCAGTGAAAGTGCAGCATGGGTGTTAAGCTTTTATTGTTCTACCACTGAGCTCCCATCAAGGCATTAAAGGCTTTTGTATCATAGGTAAGAAGGGGTGATATTAAATACTAATTTCAGATTTCATAAGTTTTTATAGCATTTGCATCTCTTCAGATTTTAACGTATTTCCTCTACTCTGTTGTCCCTTTCCCCACAAATGGCCTGGCCCTTGTTTTAGACAACTGAAACCTTAGATGCTATAGCATGTTTCCTTTGATACTGATAGCAATCACAAGTACAAATACTAGTTGGGAAAATAAAATGAGGGGCAGCTAGGTGATGCAATGGATAGAGCACCAGCCCTTAAATCAAGAGGACTTGAGTTCAAATCCGGCCTCAGACCAAACACTTGACACTAGCTGTGTGACCCTGGGCAAGTCACTTAACCCCAATTGCCTTAAAAAAAAAAAAAAAGGAAAACAAAACGAATGTTTTCAAGTTGCTTTTTTATTGTCTTAGTGGGAGATTTACTTTATAATCTTAGTGAAAGGTTTAGTGTTTTAAGGCGTAAGTTAAATTTACTGCATAAAGAAAATCACTGTACCTGAAAGCCAATTCATTTATAGGGTAGAATGGGGTAAGCACAGGGGGGAGAATAGTTCAGCCAGTGTAGTTGCACTAGAAGAGGGAAACAACTTGCCTCCAAGACAGTTTTGCCCTAACCTTTCAGTATGATCTGGGAGAAGGTGGACCCTGGTCAGTAGGATTATGGGTATGATCACATGATAGGGGACAGTTATTTTGGGTAATCTCTTTGAGGCCTGAAACCATGTCTTTATCTTCCCCTCTACGCCCAATATACTATCTTTTGCACAGTAGCATGTTTAATGAATTTAACATTAATTGCTCTTTATGGGCAGAACACTGTAACAAGATTAAATAACAGTCCCAACTCTCATTCTGGTAGGGGGAATAGAATATACACAAATGATCTTTTCTTTCAATGCTCAGCTCAGGTACCATCTTCTACTTGAAGTTTCCTGATCCCTCCAGCAGTGAGTACCCTCCCTCCAAAAAGGACCTTGTGTTGATTTTGGAATTTGTTCCCATGTACTTTATGTATGTGGATGTTGTTTTCCCTGACAAAATGGAATCTCCATTAGGGTAGGGATGATTTCATTTTTGCTTCTGTATCTACGCCTTGAATATTGACTTAGAACTAGAATATACAATCAC